TAAAGTCTATTCTATAGAACAAATTTAAAGTTTGTTCTATATGTTAAAAGTTTGTTCCCCCCCCCTTTTTAAGTTGTAAGCCGCCCTGAGTCCCCCCAGGGAAAAGGGCGGCATATAAATAAACTTAAAGTAAAGTATTTAATTTCCTTGTTTTTTTTCTTTTCTTCAATTATTCTCTTCTCTTCAAAGATAGGTGCTCTGCTATATTAATATAGTCTAATAGTTATCCAATTCCAAAATTAGACAAATCCAGTTAACAATTAGTTTTCTTCAAAGAGAGCAAAAAAGAAAAAAGACAAATACAAGCACTACTTAAATTCCCTCATTATCACCAAATTATCTTCTTCTTTGTAGCCAAGGTCAACTCTTCCAGTTCTTATTTTATCTGTTTTAGTATATATTCCGCTCACCAAATCTGATAAACTTTGTAGCACTTTTTTTCTCCAGTAGATGTCACTCTGAATTTCTATTCCACGTAATGTACAGCTAATTGATCAAAATATCCAGGGAATTTAAAATACACATAAAAATGCTACTTTCTCCTGAAATTCATTGGGTTTTTTTTAGTTCTTTGGTTCCCCCCCCCCCCCCGCTTCCCAATTACATGAATTTTTCTTCGGCCTTTTATTTTATAGTCTCAGGGTTTTCCTTTTTTGTTCCAAAAGTGTCAAATAGCCGCTATTCCAAGCTCTGGAATTAATTTAAGAACATTGATTTCAAATTTCCAAAAAAATTCTTTTAAGTGAGAGTTGGCAGTTATCTCACCCTGTTCCAGCATCTGTCCAAACATCGCTCTAGCACAATTCTTAAGTTCGGTTGCCCCAGCTTTAAGACGACCGTGAGAAAATGGCCGCCACCCCTGCCACCAATTGGGAAAACTTGTTTCTGTCCTAGTGAGGAAATTGCCATCCATGAAACGCCTCTCCTTTCTTCACCATCACTGCAAGGCTCCTGACAACTGATACTGACTGGTTTTCGTGGAGCTCATCAGAGCTCCGCTAATTTCCAGTCCATTCTCACTGCAACATCAACTGGGAATCCCTGGGATAATTATCATTCTAAACTGGAGAGGAAAAGATCCTTTGACCACAATATAGTGTGAAGTTAAAATTCAGTGGAAGCCTTGAGATGCCATCAAATCTGAATGAATTAAAGATAGTTAATGCACATTTTTTCTCTTTTTTCTCTCTCTTATATATTATCTCACTCTGACCAGGTACGGTACATGAAGATCATTGAAAAGAGTGGGTACCAGGCTCTACCATGGGTCCGCTATATCACCCAGAGTGGAGGTAAACTTTAAAGCCCACGAAGAACCTGGATCTATATAGAGATACTGACCATATTCACCCAGCATACTAAATTTAGTATTGAGCACAGTTATAGCATTAACTTTCAAATATGCTCCAGAAACCAAGAAAGCCACCATTTGCATGATTTATTAATCTTCATTCTGGTAGCTATCTGAACAATCTTTGCCAACCAACATTTCCTGGTTTGGTTTTGTGCAAAAATTAATATTTAACCAATGTCCACTCAGGCATATGGGAGTTAGAGTTAATCTGCATGCCATGAAAGAGAACTAATATTTTCCTTAGCCCTTTTTAAAAAATGAAATAATCCTCTGTACTCATAGGAGTTGAAGTACAAAGCCAGAACAGAGGAAGCATTCTGCTTTATAGAAATTCCTGTACTCGGTGTCATTTTCCTAGAGGAGGAATGACAAATTTTAACTACCAAGTAGCCATTAATCTAGATTTAGACATACACCAGTTTAATAAATATCGGCTAAGTTATTTCCTCCCACCACATCCTTTGGTTTTTCTAGAATATGCGTGATTATTCTGCAGAGCTCTGGATTGGAATTTTAAATGTATGGGATCCTATCTTGTGATAGACTTTTGAAATGAGAAAATATGAAGCCAGCAAACATTGTTGTATCTATGCTATTCCGCTTTGTTGGCCAAATTTGCAGTGTATAAGAATTATCAATACCTATTAGTTCTGATGCCTATGTAGTTCTCCTGGCATCAGAGTTGGCATCCAGTGCTGGAGGAGGGTATGAAGTGGTGGTCCTATACCGTTTTGCTTGTAGGTTTCCTAGGAATATATAATTGGCTCTTGCTGAATTAGATAGACCTTTGTCCTTATGTTAATTTCTCCTTGATGAGGCTTGTAGCAGGCATTTGATCAAAGCCCTTAGAGCAGGGTGTCAAACTCGTGGGGTCATGGGATGTGATGTATTACGACTAGAATGCGGGTGATGCACATGACGCACCCAGCCCATGGCCAATGAGTTTGATACCCCTACCTTAGAGTAAAGATTTCTGGAAAAGTTGCCCTGTCTTGTTATAAGCACGTGCTGTTTACAGCCTAATTTTGTCCAAATGTTTTTTCATTTCCTGGGATAATTGTGAGGTTGCCAGATATGTAGACAATAATAGTCCTACTCCACAGTCCTACTCCACTGTGTTTGGAACTTAGTAAGTTTCAATATGTGAACATTTTCATTTTTCAGCAAACATTGCAAGTTCACCAAGAAATAGAACTATTTGCAGTCAAGAAGATTCAACTACAAGGGAGTTTAACTTATTTGATACTTTCCCCCCACAGATTATCAACTTCGGTCACATTAATCGTATGATTCCAGAGATTCTGATACTGTCAAGAATGAAGACGTCTGAATGACTTTTAATCCAGGCTCTATTTGGATCTGATCTTGTATATTTGTATATTTCCTGGCAAAGTGCTACTCTGATCCTCAGTCCATCCAACCACCACTTGGGTAGATAGTTGTTGGACAATTGCACCAAAGGTTGATCTGGGTGGGAGAGAATCTTACTCTTATTCTTGTCTACAATGGCATGTATACTTCTTCCTAGCTTGAATGAAAGAATGAAAGTTTGTATACTGTGCCTTGCAAGGGTTTTGGGTGAAAAATCTTTAATGAGTAAAAGAGCTACTGCGGTGCAGTGGTTAGAATCAGTACTGCAAGATACTTCTGCCTGCCTGCCAGCTGCCTGCAATTTGGCAGATTGAATCTCACCAGGCTCAAAGTTGACTCAACCTTCCATCCTTCCGAGGTGGTAAAATGAGGATCCAGATTGTTGGGGGCCAGAGGCTGACTCTGTAAACCGCTTAGAGAGGGCTGTAAAGCCCTGTGAAGTGGGATATAAGTCCTAAGTGCTATTGCTTCATTCAGAATTTCTCTCTTAGAGAACTCCTGAGACAAAAGAGCAGATGTGGTAGTACCACCGGTGAGTGGGTGGGTCTCTCTATTTGGAAAACTTTATGCAGGGGAATGGATGTTGCCTCTTACTAGTGCCTGAATAGAATTCGGTTCATCCAGAAATAATATAACCAAGTTTCTTCAGAGGGAGAGTTGTGTGTGCAGGAAGGATGCAATGACAGAAAGCAATGCAATGTTATGGAATCAAGAACTGCAGGTCTGGGTTGAAATATCAACTTGTACATGAATTTTCTGAGAAATTGTGGTAAATTCTTAATTTCTGTTCTTTTTTGTAAAATGAGAATAGTAACTGCCTACCTTTTGTTATAAAGATGATGAAATGACTTAATAGTTTCTTGTTCTTAAAGCATGACTAACTCTAAAGGGACAGAAATAAAAAAAAATCAGTGAAATTATTATTATATTGTGGTGTGATATTCATCCTTATTTCCTTTTTGTTTCCAACAGATCAGTTTTGCATTTTACTTTTACTCCAGTGTTTGAACCCTTGGATTGAGGTTAGAGATATAGATATGAAATTTTGGGGGAACATGGACAAAACCGGGGCAGCTAAGAGAGCTCTCAAGAGTCCTGCAGGATAGGAGGGATATCTAAATATTAACAAACTAATCAAGAATTATTTGCCTGACCTTATCAAGGCAAAATGTGTAAGCCCTGGAAGTTGCTTCCTGGACAATGTTTTGTTTACCCTATTCTCCTTCAAAGAACGATAAAACAAAAACTAGGAACGTTGTAGGCAGTTCTCGATGCAAGCAAAAAGAGAGAGAGATGCTTTGTGTTCTGTATGTTGGCATTTGTCAATTATTTTATTTCTCTTCTCCCAACAACCTTCTTCTGACTTCTTCCTTCCTTGATTGGGATTTTGTAATTTCAAATGCAATAGTTGGAACTGCAGGATAAGCAGATAATGATATCTGATGGTTCTCATCCTTTTATTATTTCCTTTGTCATTTGACTCTCCATTACCTGCAAATGAATGTCTATGTATGCAGATGCATGTAGTATGTAATTTCTCTTTTACAGAATGATAGCGTTAGAAAGAACTTAAGAATCCAATCTATAGTTCAGTACAAGATTCATTAAACCATCCCCCGAGAGACGATGTTGAAAGCCTCCCGTGAAGGGGAAGAAATTGCTCCAGGCGCTAATTCATTCTACCAATTAGCAGTTCTTGCTGTCAAGTTCTTCCTAACATCTGATCGGTATCGACATCCTTACATTAGTTCTAATCCTGCCCTTTGGAGCAAATCTAAACCCTCCACAGTGTGGCAGCCCTCAGATATTTGAAAACTTGCTCCCTTTCAACCTTCTTCCAACTGTTACTCATAGGATTTGCTTCCCAGTCCTTTCATCAGAGGTGGTATTCGTCCTCTTTGCACCAGTTCACCCGAACCGGTGGGGGAAATTTGGCTGAGTTTGGCGGTGGCCGGCTGGCCCTGCCCCCGAGGCTGCCAAAGAGGCGGCGGCTGACTGCAGGCTGCCGAAAAGTGTCCCGGTGGGCGAAAAAGCTGCTACCATCGCCACCACGTCCTTCACACACAAGCATCCCATTGCCTTGCAAAATCCATTGCAAAGGGGCTCTCAGGGAGGCTGGGAAGTTTCTTTGCCAGTCAGCTGTCTCACAGCAGCTGCGGCAGCTAGTGGGGGCCGCCAAAAACTCTGGTCAGCTTGCGAAGGGAGGGCTGCCCTCGGGGGGACCAGTGGGAGTGTGGGAATCATAACTTTTTCTTCTTTCCTATTGTTGGAAGGAAAATCCATATGATTCAGTTCCAAGGTGGGAGAAAGATGCTGGGAATAAAATGGAGACTGGAGGCTGATTGGAATGGAGGTCCATTTATTGAAGAACAGAACCACCAGGCTTGTGGTTTTGGGTCAGCTGAACAATTAGCTAGATGATTGCCAGGATTTTATACAGGCCCTGAAATGCTGCTGGTGTGTGTGTGTGTGTGTGTGTGTAATGAAGGGGCTTGTGTTCTGAAAGGATGTTGGGCAATTCTTTTTGTGCCCAATGGCTTTTGTCCTGGCATGGATCTTGGGTGAGGGGCTGCTTGTTCTAATCCTACCATTCTGCTTTTGTTAGCTGTCAAACTTTGCTGCAAGGAGTTTTGAAATATCCTGTCTTGAATGGATTTCTGCCTGCTGCGTTTGCTTTGCTTATGAATAGAGCCATCTAGACCAGGGGGGGGTCAAACTCCAGGATCTGGCTCATGGGG